GAACTTGAAGTCGACACTTAGGAAAACCTTTCGATAAAAAATTCCCATTAAAGTTCAAAAGTGTGTTGAACTTTACACATCGCATTTGAATATTGTGTAGTTTGTCGGTAATGTCAGTAATGTTAGTACAAACATAATAAACAGCTATTAATTGTAAAGCTGTGTTGAACTTTTTCGCACAGTTAGCAATAATAACAAACTAATTAATTTACTTGAAGTAAATTTTGATAATTAACATATCTTAATTACCTTTAGAATAGTTGTAGTTTTTTTTTTAATACAATCCTTTATACTTTATTTTTAACACTTTATTATGCATGGCCTATCAACTTCAGTACACAAAAAAATACAAAGTTATATGCTATATTCTTATTTATTTATTTAAAGTAAACAATTTTAATTTGTTGTTAAATATATAACCAAAGACTGTACAAATGCTTTGACCTTTTCCACTTATTATATGATAAATAGAAGTCTTAATATATGCAATGTATATGCAAAAATTATAATTGTTATATTATAATTGAAAGAAAAAAATTGCAAAGAAGCTTATAAATAGCTTTAACTTATTTTAAAATTTTAATTGAAGTATTGAAAAAAAAATTGAAACAAGTATAATGATTCGGTTGTAATTTGCCTTACATGTATGTATGGAATTGAAAGCTAAATAAAATCAAGTTTTTCGGTTAAACTTATTATCCCAGTTTGCACCATATCTGTTTTTATTAGATCCTGTAAACTATTTATAAACTACAACTAACTTATTTTAAGCAGTTTGTATGGCTACATCTGCAGTCGTTTGAGATTTGTACTAGAAATACTACGTCAATCCTTGTCTACGAAACCGAATGTTGATGTTTATGTACTTAAAATAAATAAAGTTGAATATATATTTAAACATGTAACTTTAGTTCCGTTAACTTATTATTTCGTACTTGAAATCAACTATCAGTTCACAAACTGATTTCTAAAACGGAGCTGTCCAATCCAATACGATCGCGAGAATACAAGGTAGAATACAGGGTCAGGGACAAGTACATACATCCATGTGTTTTTTTTTGGAGACAATAAGAATACAGCTATAATGTAAAATTTGATAATGTTAAATTTATTTATTTTTTTATTTCAATTTTTTGGAATGTCATATTGTAAATTTTATCAAAATATATCAAGAGAAAATTAGCGTAATTGTAGTAGATTACAAATATATCGCGAGCTGTACATATATTATCCGTGGACTACACATATATTATCCAGCACATATATTATCCGCGGCCCGCACATATATTAACCGCGGTCTGCACATATATTATCCGCGACTGGCACATATATTATCCGTGGCCCGCACATACATTATCCGCGGCCCGCACATACATTATTCGCGGGCCGCATGTGACCCGTGAGTCGTGCTTTGGATAGCCCTTCTCTATATTATCACCACAACAATAATAGCAAAATGATTACTGTTCAACATAATCGATCTAATAGATTATGATAGATTATAGAATATCTATAGTGAGTATTCTTTGATTGTTATATGTTATTCATTATATTAAATCAGCTGATAATAGATTCACAATTTTTTTTCAAATGTACTTTACAATTAATAAAGTATACAGCTTTCGTCGTTATAACAATGAATTTTAATAAATTAATATATGTCGCAAGATAATTATTATAAATGTATTGTAATACAGCGTTGATTACAATTAATAATACCCAATTACATATTGTAAAGGTTGAAATGATCATTAATTTATGTCCTAAGTAACAAATTGGTGTTACTTACAAATGTTATGATAACATTAATAAATTATATTATTTATCAGTGGTCAGTAATTTGCTATAATTAATCACATAAATTGGTTATAATATTATTAACAAACCTTTAAAAAAATACCCACATTGTATATAATTAAATAAATATAAAAATATATAAAAGACTTGCAATAAATCAAAATCAATGTTCTTTGCGGTTTATTAAAGTTTTAAATTAAAAAAAAATAATTTTAATAAATTATTTAAACTCCTATATTTGTGCATATAAATTTTTATACCTTTTTTCTTACGGAGTGAGTCTAAGTTCAGATCAAAGTCTGTTTTGTGTAATTAAAATTAAATATTTTAATAGAAATTAAATAGTTTTTATATTTTAATAATATAGTTGTAAAATACGATATTTACGATTGGTAGCGGCGTTAGTGGAGTGCGCAGTGAGGTGACGATTCAGGGCGATAAAAATTAAGGGCCACTAGATCCAAGTCAAAAAATAGGTGTTTTTACTTCTAATTGTAAACAATTCCGAAATATTATAAATCATATTGATCAGTGCACAATATTTAGTGACGCTGATATAAAGAAATATTTATGATTACGTACGTTTATTATTTTATAATTTTATACTTATTTTTCATTCTGTTTACCATTGTTTCCTTTAATAATTTATTCATATGGGTCTCGATACTAGTCACGCCCAGGGCGATAAAACCACAAGTGTTTATGATTATTATCAAACTACTATAATATGTTATGTTAATATATATTTTTAAATATATAAATATATATACATCATATTAGATATAATATTTTTGTTATTACTCAAATCTGTGCTTTAAGTTTATTATTTTTACCGTTGTAATACGAAGTGTCTGGTGCTTTTAATTTATTGATTTTTTATGGTTAATTGGTTATTACAGTGTTTGCATGTTTGTATATAAACATTTTAATGTAAATATAATTATTTAGAATAATAAATTTTATTTTTTTACTAACACATATTAGAATGGTTACAAAATTAATCAAGTTAGATTGACACTTTAATTGCACTTAATACCATATCAAAGACAAACAGTGACTGACACCAATGTTACATCTTTAAATGCAACAAAACAACATTTTCCCTGTCTTATTCTTCTCTACGTCCTCATCAGTTAAAACATTTTACAGTGTAATTTGCGATTGCTTTTTCAGTTAAAATCTTTTTTACTTTTATGTACTACACTTTAAATTAGAAATAAATAGATAAATACAAAATTAATAATACGATATAAATTTTGAATAATAAATACTAGAATTGTTATAAGTCTAAAGTTATTACAAGTCTAAATTTATAAAGAAATTACCATAAAACTATTCGATATGTCTCTACCAGATATCTACAATGAAGGCGGTTATAATATTGTCCGCTTTTTTTAAAACCCACAACTTATTTCCCTATCTTTGGTTTGACTTTCTAAAGATTCGGAACCAAAACAATCTTGTGCAAAACAAGATTAATTACTCATCAAATCTAGAAGTCACCTCGGATATTCTAAAATTTCTAGTGGTGTCACATTGAACCATTAATGGTTATTTAATGCTTTATTTTTAATTTCATACCTATTACTTTACAGAACACTATTGTGTCTGACCCTATCAAAAAGGTTTACCTAAACAATTTTTGAAGTCAATAAAAGTAAAGAAACTTGAACTATTTAATAAAGTTATTTTTTTTTCTTGATTTTAGTTTCTATATTATATATTTATTAGACTTATAAACATTTTATTATTCATTATTTTTATTATACATACATATATATGATATATATATTTATATATATAAATATAATATAATATAATGGAATAGAAATTTTTTATAAGTAAACAAATAAAGCACCTATATAACTATGTTATATGACAACAGTTTTTAGTAGAGATCGCTTTTTTCACAACGCACTATGTCAATATACCATAGATTTCCATATATAGAACCTTAAAATTAGAAGGCTGAAGAATATTTGCTATTAGTGGATATATTTATCACTAATAGAATTGATAGTCTTTAACGAGTTAAAAACCTAAGCATTCTGATGAGTGTTTACAGTACCAAAAAGCTTGAAGGCTCTTTACTTAATGCATTTTTTAATGTTTTCTACTTTTCTATCCTTGTGTATATCCAAGTTTTTCACATATTATATGAATTCCAGTCGTCTTAGAGCTATAGTTATGATTAAAGTTTATTGATTTATGATATGATTAAAGTTTCTTTAACATAGTTGGTGCCACTTTTCAAACGCTACATAACCATAACGTGAGCTCAGACTGATTACCTGTTTATACATAGAGATTTTATTTTTGCTACTTATATTCGTGTCCTTTAAGGATCTTAGAACTCAAAAGACCCTCTTTCCCTCATTGTATAAAAATTTTTTCTCGAAAATTAATAAAATTATATTTCACTTTTAGCTCATACTCGATATATGAGCTGTTTATTAGCAGTTTTTTTTGTCATACCCAAAAAATAGATGTAAGTGAAACACATGTTAGTACTAGATGGTGGCTATAGCTTTTGGTACTAAAATGCAAGTAAAAAGCTAACAATTTTAAAAACTTTGTCATCTTGAGAAGAAAGCTATATTGAAAATATTGCTCAAGTGCGTTGTCAAATTGGAGTACCCTAAATATTCAAATTCCGCCGAATAATCGACCCAAAATGTATGTGCCATCAAATATTGTAAAGTAATTAATATACAATATTTAGATTGAACTAACTAACATTCCCTATCTGATCGTACTGCATATCATTTTATTATGCAGTTTCTTCTAATTACTTAAATAGATTTAATATCTCTGACTCTTTAACGATTCAGAACATACTGAATAATATTGTAAAATTATTTGCTTAATATAAAATAAATTATATATGAATTATTTATATAGATTGTATAAGCTTTACTCTTAGGGAAGTTTTAAAGTGTAGTACATGAAGCCTGCCCTTTTGCTTTGAAAATTTATTGTGACTTAAACCATTTCTTAAATAAATTAATTGCATGCCCAATATCTTTTAAGGTTAATACATAAAAACATACAAAAATACATATACATATAATCGTTTAAGTGTCTCATCGTGCATGTTCAGAATTCACATAAATGTCATATTCACATTTATATACAATATAAGCGCTAAGATAACAACTTGGAAACAAACAAAAAATTCGAAAACTCGATAACTTCATTTTCAGATTCTAATGTAGCACCATTTTCATTAGAATTACAACCGCCATTACTGAGTGATATTGATGCTGACGCTGAAGCCATCAACAATGATGCCATCGATGCTTACAATAGCAAATCCGCAACTACAGCAGCTATTGACAGTTACGGAAATCCGATTGAATCATTAAAACCCATTGATACGCCCGATGGTAGAAAAGTTGTTAGCGCACAAGGTTTACAATTTGAAATACCAAACTATGCTTCGGGCATAACCGATATATCAAAGCCCGCTGATGATTTACTACCACCATTTGTTGGTGAGTTAAGCAATAATATTAATGCAATTAACGCTTCTAGTACCGTTACTGATACAAACACAGAAATAGAAATCGGACGAAATGACTCAGATAATGCCGATATGGTTGACCAAAATAATAATAACAATAATAACGTTAGTTATAAAGATAATGACGTATTGGGAGTTATAGTGGCCAAAGATGAACTTAAAGAAACACCTGAAAGTATTACACAACAAAATCCAAAAACAGATAATGAACATGATTTAGAATACGAAAATAACAACAATGACAACATTAACACAATTAATAAACACGATGAACAACTAAAACCAGAGCAACAACTACAACAGTTAGATATAGATAATACGGTTAAAGCCAATGCATTACTATCAAAATTTTTAGAAAATATTAATAATAGTAGTTACACAGCAAAAGTAGCACAAAACTTTAGCACTAATTCGACAACAGCAGCAACAATGCTTCCATTAAATAATGCACCAGCACTAGCACAACCACAACGTGCTTCACATCCTTCACCAATCAAAATTTCACTTTTTAGTCAACCTTATACCCAACTTCATGAGAGCAATCATAAACCCACTTACACACCCATTCAAACTGTAAATGATGCCACTTCTCATACCACAAATAAAAATTCCGTTCATTCTAACTATCATTCTGATATTCCCACTACACTATCTTCTAGTCAGGTCTCGTCTAATTATATGACTACTTTTTCGCCTTCTTCTTTATCTATTACTTCGTACCCAACTTCTACTTCTTACGTTGGTCCCCTTAGTAATGGTAATTTTAATTATCCAAATGTCCCAACTGATATATCCATTATCAATCGTATAGCAGCTAAATACCATAATCCCCTTCCTACCTTAGATCCCATCGTAGTTGCACTGCCAAATGACTCAAACGAATCTGGACAACAAGTGCCAACATCAGGCGAAACAACAACTGTTGATATTGAACCTGCACAGCTGGTCGAATTGATTCCGGACAACCTGCAAACAAATTCTAAAGATGTGGATAGTGCTGGTTCTAATACTTTACCACAGTACTTATTAGATCTCAACGATCCAGATATAGCTGGACCAGTCGAATACACGCCAAGCGATGATGGTAGTTCATTAAAAGTTATTGCTTGGGATTTGCTGCCTCCCCATGATGCTGAACCACATATTATAACAAAGGAGAACAATACACCAAAACGTGTAATTGGGATTGAAGATCCAAAAACACACAATATCAAAGTGTCTTTATCATCAGGATCAGCTATAACACCAACACAACATATAACAACTGCAAATAATGGTTTAACAAATGGTAAAGTGAGCCCAGTCCCACTAAACAAACATATCGCAGATAATTTACCAGCAAGTGCTAGTAATGTAGATCAACACTTTACCACTCAAAATAATGACGATGATAAAAGCCAGTCATCCTCAAATGAACAAACTCCAGCCAATAGTAATGAAGCCAATATTGTTGATACAACTACGAAAAATCCTGATCATAATCGCGGCAATACCTATTATACAAAAACCACTCCATATACCACCACTACAATAAGAACAACTAGGCCAACCACTACTGCTACAACTACCACTACAACAACTACTCGCCGTCCTACAACCACAACTACACGTCGTACAACAAAAAGCACAACAACAACTACAGCAGCACCACGAACAACTGCAGCACCCATTGTCTTAACTACCACTGAACCAGTAGACACATCAAATTTCTATAGACTAGAAAACGGTGATTCGTATACTTTACCTAGTTGGTTATCCGGTATTGATGATCCTGACTTAGATGCCGCTGTTACCTTTATCATACCAACAGATCTAAATGAATATAACCACACTGTTGATCGTGATCTTTTACCACCTCTTGAACCTTTTGTAGATTTAAAAAATATCAATTTACCTGCTCCAGCAGGAGAAAAAACTCATCCTACTACCACAACTTCTACCACTACTTCTACAACCACTACGACTACAACTACAACAACTAAACGTCCTAGTACAACAACTACACGTCGCACAACCATCTCAACATCAAGACCACATTGGGTGCGTGCTTATCCAACGACAACTACAACGCCTACAACTTCTCAAAGGTCCAAGACATCAAACAACGATCGTTTCTCAGACACTTCATATCATAATGCACAAGAGCATGATAAACCAATTTCATCAACCACTTACACAAACTCAAAACCAAATACACATGTTAGCACTTCGCACACAGTTCCACCAGGCACAGCATCAAACCAGAATGTAAATGTGTTTAATCAAGTTTCTACTACTGCCAATACAGATCGAGTTCCTAGCAGTGAAGCTGATAAATTCGAGCCGAATCCTGCCAAGCAGCCAAATCCATTCTTACCGACACGTAATAATGGAGCATACAATTTCCAACCGAAACCGTTCTCTAATCGTGCACCTACAACAACTACAACTACTACAACAACTACACCCGCAACACCTGTGGAAGAGAATCCGTTTGATTCGGCTACTGTACCAGCTTGGTTAAAAGATTTTGATTATCCAGATGTTGGCCCCGGTGTGCCATTCGTTTATGATCCTTCAGATATTGAATCAGATGTGCTGGATGACTTGCTACCACCATCACACGTTGAAACTGATCCATCAGATATTGCAAAACCAGTATTTGTGACATCCTCTCCTTCCTCTTTTAATGCTTTCCACTCCCAACCACATTTCACTCATCAACAACCTTCTTTCAATTCTGCTTCTATCCCATCAAAAGTCACGCAACCTCTTCCATCTACCATACCAAACAATTTCAATGATAATGCGGCTGCGCTAACGCCTAACTTAGCCGTGGAGGATGCCAACGCCAACGTGGATGCTGCTAACAAAATTGCTGTGCTCGCTAAGAAACCATCACCTAACTTTAACAACAAACATAATTTTGCAGCTCCATTCGATACTGCAGCAGCACCCATCGGTGCCACAACACCAGCTGATCAAGAATCTTTTCCACCATTCTCAAATGTGGGAATACCTAGTAAGACGAAAATTACAAAAAGTGATGAAGGTAAAGTCATAACAAACAGTGTTTTCTTACAAGGTGCAAGCGGACCAAGTAGTGCAAAACCATTTGGATTTGGAACAAACTTTAATACACAGAAAGGTAAACTCTTAAACTTAACATTTTTATTCATTACTATTGCTAATATGTTAACATTTATTATATATTTATTATATTTTTTCAATACAGACTTCCAAGCATCTCAAACGAATCAATACTTCTCCAGCACAACTGACGGTTTTACCTCTTCAAGTAACACAGGTTTTAGTCCAGGCCCTGCTTCTAGCTACTCCACATCATACTCCAATATTCAACAAACAAATACATTTGGTAAGACCCCAACCGGAGCAGGTAAATATACGGGAAGATTTGGTGGCTCACCCGGTGTTTTAGGTGGCGGTAAGGTTGGTTACGCTGTTCAACCAGATGGCACAATACGTGATCCCGATCACACATTCAAACCACCAACTGGTAACAAAGTTGCTGCAACGCCTGCACCTCCTCAACCTCAACAGGGTATTACACCTGCATTTTCAGGCTTTTCAAATCGTGTCGGTACTGCAGTAAGCGCCTCAAATGCAAACAAATATAGTGGCAGGTTTGGTGGACCACCGGGCGTTTTAGTGCCTTATGATAATGTCAAAGCTGGTAGAGCTTGAAGCACTATAACGAACTTTTAATTAATTTAATTATTTATGAAAAAATAAAAATAAATTACTTATTTAATTTATGGTTTATTTAGTTGTTAATATAATACTCGATCTGCCTTACATACTTTTTTCTCTGCTTATATAATTACTAGTATTTAAGAGAAAGTAACTTCAATAGACAATTTCTGCAATTGTATAAATATGGTTGAGAAAAACGAAAAGAAATATATATTTTATTTTTTATATTAATAATTTTGTTTTAATTATTCTAATCTAATTCAGGTAAGTTGATCTCCTTATATTAATTTTTTATACAGCTAATTAATAATAAAAACACATTATTTATATTTATATCTACAGAATGAGTACGAATGAGTATTTCCTTTTAAAACTTTTTGTCCTATAACATGTTCTATAAAAATTAAATAAGGAGCTTATAATTAAATTTACAATTACTTAAAGAAATTAGTATAGCTCAATTTTATCCCTAAAAATAATATATTCAATATTTTCGAAAATTACATCTCCTTTTGTCACACTACCAGCGCATAGATATATCTATATACTCTTCTGCCTCTAAAAATCCATTTGGCTACTATACTAAACTATACATTTTACGCTAATGACAATTCATGAACCGGGATGCATTTAACTTCTTTTGCGCGAAATTAAAACTAATCCATTAGTAGGGATAATTATTACTATGATCTATACAAACATTAAAAGTAAAGGAGTATTCATCTATAAAATAAACTGGAGCTCGAATAAAATAATTCAGAACGAGGTTGGCCATATGAGGACCCACACTTCAATATTTTATTTATTTATATTATACGTTAAAACTAAATTAACGATTGTCACAGCAACAACACAGCGACACCTTTCAAGAATATAAAGGTTTTCATTTTGACAATGTATAGGTTCCGATATAGACAACAGAAGTTCAATACAAAATCTATATGTACTCAACAAGCTGTTATAATTCAATATAAATTAATAGTGTAAGTAGTATAGCTTGAAATCGGTTTAATCCCAAAATACTAAGCAACTATTAGAAAATCACTAAACATTGTAATACTTGAAGTATATATATATATATATAGTAAATAACCGAATGTAACCTTGTAACTATATAAGTTTTCTTTTAAATCAAAAGATACGCTATGCTTAACACTATTTAATAATATAAATTATTACAAAAAACAAAAGCGAATCACTTAACTTCATTCTAACTTCTCTTATAAAATCGTTGTTTTGTATGTTCCATGTGTTGTGTGAACGCACGGTTCTTCTCTAGATTTGTAGAGAAGAATTTAGAATTTTTTAGTGCTGCCTGTATGAAATATGATCAAGTAAGTAATATTTTCTGGTGATTTTTTCTTCTGTAATTCAAATAAATAGAGTTAGCAGAAATATGAGGGATCATATAGTAGTTCCTTATAATACCACAACTCATGCTGCTTCAATAATCCGTCAGAATATCAGGATTTATCAGAACTGGGGTAAAGAACTTTCATCCCATCCCAGCACAGCGATTATCAAACAAGTTAATTTCACTAAGCAATAGAACATATCACAGCAATGTGGAATAGATCGCATTGTAAGCTCCCACTTTCACACTTAGTTTTTATCTGTCTTAACCACAAAAAACGGAAAAATAATATTAAGCACTGCTCCATTTTATCATATTTCGAACAAAACAATTTTAACCGAATTTACATATTGTTTAATATATTGTTTAAGGCAATTAAATAGGGACTTACTTGATTTTTTTTTTAACTTATTCATATACTAGATAGTTTTTCGATTTCAAATGCATAGTAACGTCACGTTTAAGTGATAATCTTGTTTTACCGCTTTTGGAATACCGTTTAAATGAGTGAGCAGCAAAAGTTGTGAACAGCACTTAGTCATCGTACAGATATTACTTTGGGATGTAAACCTAGCTACTCCTGGAACAGTACTTAGTTGTTGTATAGGTATTACATTAAGATGTAGACCCGACTGCTACTGGGAATATAGTTTTTATTATAATTATATGCACTTTATGGATTGTGTCTTGACATATTTAAATTAATAAATATATTTCCAATTATATATAAATATGTATAAATAAAAATATTTATTAATAATATATATATAATTTTATTCGGCATATTTTTTCATTTTTTTATACATGTGTATGTACATGTATTTGTAATTACGGAAAAACTTTATTCCAACTTCTTTTATAAAGTCTATAATATTTCCATTTTACTTGCTCTCATTGAATGTTTCAAAATATGCAAATTATTAACATTCATGGTATTATTTTTATTGTAAATAAAGTAGGTCTACAACATATTTACATAAATAAATATGTATATATAATTAGGTATAAGGATTCCTTTGCGTGCGATTTGGAAATTTCGCTTAAGCACTAACAACGTTCGAAGTAAGTCGGAGATTAGGGCAACATTACCATTTTTCTCAAGTGTTCATATACATTGTCTTTAGCGCTCCTCTAGCTGTATTTCTTTGCAGCACTTTTTTTAGTGGTGAATTTTCATTATACATCGCGAAGTTATATGTGGTGCCACCACATTGCGCTTTTAAATTAATGTGGATTTTCCTTTAAAATTTATCTGTGTGTATTCAATAAAAGATTTCTGTTTAAGATGAACCTAGATTTCTTTGTATTAAGACCTTTATGAAGTTTCCACACTACTGTGGTATGAAGTTTCCAGACTGCTGTGGAATAAAGTTTCCACACTGCTATGGATTAAAGTTTCCACACTTCTGTGGAATAACGTTTCCACACTGCTGTGGAATAAAGTTTCCATACTGCTGTAGAATCAAGTTTGCACACTGCGGTAGAATGAAGTTTCCACACTACGGTGGAATAAAGTTTCTACACTATTGTAGAATAAAATTTCCACACTGCTGTAGAAATCTCCATTCATTGGTATAAATAATTAATATAAGTTTTATTACTAAATTGTTATCAAATTTTGATGAAAAGACTAGATAGCACTAAACATTTTTTTATTAATATAAAATTAATATTTAAAATTAAAATTTATTTATTAGGTGTGTATTCATACATCCTTTAATCACCGAACCCTATTTTATAAACTGGCCAGCTCCGCCATACTTCTTTTGCTGTTATTTATAAATGAATTCCGATTGTTTTATTTATTGTGGAAAAAGATAATCATTGTACACAATTTCTATCAAATTTATTGGTTATTCATAACATTGTAAACAAGTTATAAAATTAAATCGAATAGTGACATGTCAACTCCTTGCCATGGAGCTCGTGAAACACCGTCAATTGTCTGTTCTAATTCCCTGATTATACACATGCCACGCTAATTGTGTTGACAACTCATAACATGTTATTTGGCATAAATTTACACCAGCTTATCAATATGTAATTTATTGTGATTGAAGGGCTTTTACCAATTTCCATGCACATTAGTGTTTATATACGACTATAAGTCGTATATAGTAGGTGGGCAACTCATATAGCAACAGTTAAATTGTTGCCTTCGTAAAAGATTTATTCATGAAATCAAAGGTAAATATTATGGAAATTACTATTGTATACACAATACAGTTTTATATCATATTGATTATATATATATATCTTTCGCTTATCATTAAGCAGAATACACTGCAATTTCACACTTTATCTAAGCTCACATTTCCAATCAACTTTAATTAACAAGAATTTTTGCTTTAGCGCCATTATTTCTATTTTGTATTGTATTTGTCTATTGTTTTTATAGTTTAACAATTAAAAGCTTATCGATGTTTACTCACTGCGTGTAAACTTCAAAAGGTTTCCATGTCAAAAATCCTTATACCTTACGCCTTACGTCTCTTGCGCAGTTGGTGCGTGTTGAAAGTTTAAAGAAGTTAAACGGAAACTGAATTTAAATTGCCTGTTTGCGATGTTGCACCATCGGGCGTATGCGTGCTACTAATTGCTTTAAGTTACTAAAATGATGATATAATTTTTAATAAAAACTTTAATAGTAGTAATTAATTTCAATATATCAAAAGTTTAAAGTTATGTCTGATTTTTTATCCAATGATATACAATAATTAACAAATATTATTTTTGTATATATATTGTACCCAAAAAATATATATACATATAAATATAAATATATATAATATCCAACTCACGATTAGACTATAGTAGCTAGCCACAGAAGCTAGTAATGACAAAAATTAAGTTGAGCAAATGCATTACTTAAGTACTGTGCACGATTTTGGACCTTTTTGCAAAAACAAAAACAGGTTTATTTCTAAGAAATAGTAAATTTTATTTAAATCCAAATATTTGTCATCCAAAGCTATGACTCTCGACCATCTTTCCGGCAAATTTATACATTCCATAGAAAACAAATTTTTGATGCGATCCATTCATCGAGTGTTGGTCACAAAGAGCGCTTTGCATTAATCACAAAAAGTAATAATCTGATCGAGGACAATCAAGATAATGTGAGCATACGATAAAATGTCCCATTTAAGTGCTACTCACGTATTTTTTACTTGTCTTGCAACATGTGACCGAACATCGTCGTAAAGCAAAATCACTTTAACCTAATGGTTAGGTTATGCCGGCGATCCTTTTATATATACGATCCGTTACTGTATATACAGGAAAAACTCAGGATTTATAACCACCTAGAAAATAACTTTAAGACTCTTTGAAAACGATCATCTTGTATCAAGATGACGTCTGATTTGATATCAGATATTAGTTGTTAATTTCTTATTAATAATATCTTTCATGTAGACATTAAAGACTTACTTGTTTTATTAAAGCTAAGTATTGGTTTCATGATCACATCGCCTATAGTCACAACTAACATTAGATGATCATCCTAAAATAAACTTTGTACACAATAGGAAAACGTTTAAAAAATAGATAAAAAGGGATATGTAATTGTCGCTCCTCACATCGAATAGAATAAAACAAAAATTTTGATTAAAACTAAAATTGACAATAATTTATTTGAATGACAATCTTTCATACATTCCCATAGTTTCTAAGCCCAGAATTAAACATTATATTAATCAAATTTGCTTTATAGTAATTATTAAGGATTATATTAATAAAGTTTTCTTAAAATTGTTGAATTTAAGGCCGTGTGCGAATTCAAATAAATTGACTCGCACAGGTCTAATTATTTTATGACCAAACGCTTTCAATAAAAGTGTTTCTTCAGGCTAATTGCTCCAATTTTTTTATTATTATTAAAAAATAAAAAATTTTTATCAATTATCCTTAAAATTTTTGTAAATATCGACCTTAATAATATTGGTATTAATATAACACTGAAGATGGAACATGGTGAAGATAGTTTATGAATTAGACGTAAATATCCGTTTTAAATAAATGAACTATTCTTTTTTTTTTTAAATTAACAAATAAAATTAGTATTTTTATTTACATTTTTTATATTATTTAAAGTAATATAAAACAAAACCGACCTAACGCCCGACAAAACAAACAGTTATATACTCAAAATCATATAGTATGTTTTAAAACTTCTCGTACACCTATTTCTTAAGGTCTAAGTATATTCTGTCCCACAAGAAATTGCTTCCACCTGTATCTACCATCTAAACTAAGTTTGCAACTTTATAGAAATATAATCAGAACTCCGAAATTAAATGCTACGGCAATGCATTACTTCATCAAATATTTTTTTTATATATAAGTTAATCATTGTAATCTAACCTACAAAGCTCGTTAAGAATTTTTACAATATATATATATAACTTCATTAAATTTTTACAAAACTTATAAATATTTTTGCCATCAAATTTAACATTTATGTCTAATTTGAATTTCGATTTGAAGGAATTTTTTCCCTCAAAATTGTTGACAAACAAAGTTAATGACTCTTTATTGAAGTTTATTACTGATTGTCATCACATGCAACCAGGCATGCCACCCCCAACAACCTCGAAATTGTTTTGTATGCGCTCCACAGATTTCGTGGTTATAAGGGAAACGACCAAAATTATTACTATTAAAATTTAGTCGAAATACGAATATAAACGAAAAAGGACGTGTCTCTGTCAGTTAATAGAGTGATGTAAATAATAAAAATATATATTAAACTGAAGTTCATAATCATTTCCTTAAAATGAAAATAATTATGTATTTTGTAGAGATTATGAAGTTATGTCTAAAAATAAATATGTGATAGTTAATTATTTCAAATAATTTCAAATAAAATATTAATATATTAAATGAAATTATACAACTTCTACGGAAAATGTAAATAAAAATAGAAAAAAAAAACTAAACAAAAAAAATTTATATTTAAAAAAGAAATAATTCCTTAAAAAACGGCAATTTAAGAATTAATATAATTATATACAAAAATGTGACATAAATTTAAAATTGTAATGCATCCGAAAACTAAATAAAAATTTCAAATAATATTTCATTAAACTATAATAAAACTACTTATTAAACTGCAATAAAATATATGTTTACATAATTTAATATCAATGAATATATAACAACTTTTATAACTAATATATAATTAATTATATATAATTCTACAATACAATAATATATATGCATATATTATATTCACAAATTATGAAATATGCCTAGAAAAAAGTCCAAAGTTGATTCTCTTGAAGAGATTGAAACTGCTATAAAACTGCTGTGCGACCAAGCCAACAACCACATGAAAGTTCGTGAATATGACAAAGCTTTACGCGGTTATAATCAGGTAGGCATACTTTTATACCAAATGCTTTTAGACCAATTTGAAGTTATTCAAATTTTATAAATGAGCTTAACATTTTCTTGTTGACGTTGAGTTTGTTTATTACAAATAATATAATTTTTATCATTTTATTTTTTCTATATGAAATATTAACTAAAAAGTTAATCTGCCATAAAATTTATATATTCTTAAAGAGTCAGTATTATTTTGATTTAAAATGAAGTTTTTTTTGCTTTAAATGAAACTTAAGTTAGCATTTGAGTTTAAGATGTTTTGAAAAGTTAACGCTTCTGCTACAAAATTAATATAAATTATTTAAGAGGCACATTTGTTAAATCTCATGAATATATATATATATATAACATCTTATATAAAAGGAAAATAAGTGTTATTATAGTAAATTATTTGCAATGCTCGATTTTTGGCACTTGAATTCCAAAAAATAATTGACAGACAATTAAATATTTCCAAAAGGACTTTTAACGGATATATGGCAATAACTGAAATACCTGCATTTAAATAAAAAATAAATTTATGCGGATCAGAATTTTCTTCTCTGTTATTAATACATTAAATATTCAATTTAATGAAATTAGTTAACATTTATCATAAATATTTCTAATGTCACAAATTACGTTATTGGATTAATTTTTCTATTTTATAATTCTATGACTATTAGCTAGGACTATTAGCTACGTGTAAACGCCCAATTCCTTACAATATAAATGTCCACTAAAATCTTAAAATTTGATAATTCCATAGTCATTTTTCAACAACAATTTATCGTTAATTACACGTATACAATAAAACGAAGAACATGCATATTAATTTAAGTATAAATGCAATAAGAGCGAAAAGCTTATCCATATAGAAAAAACCCATATAAAATATAAAAATCCATATGCTCTATTAGTAAATCACAAAAGTACCTAAAACAACTCTGTTCTTTGATGACTACTCTTACTCAATTTTCTTACTTTCCTAAATGAATCCAATATAACCTCAGTTTATTTCTTGCGAATGTAATATGTAATAACAAACGAAATGCTCTAAATTCTCTACATCTTCGAGATATGATTGACATGTTAGATTAGCGTTATTACCCTTAGTGAACATTTGATGCCCACCTATATCGTAGCCTGTGATGACTCCGACCAGACTGTGAAGTGTGAGGTCATTCCTCTTTAAACGATAACAAATTTCGCCTATATAGTTTTAGTTTTTTTTTACAAAACTTTTCGTTACCTTGCAAGTTTTCATTTCGGACCTCCTTCTTATGTAGATAGAAATCACAAAGTCATTGATGCAATTAAAGAATTTTATAGAGGTTCTTAATAAACATCTTTATCTATAAAGCACATAACATATATATGCACAATTTCATTTAATATAGTTTATTACCAAGTGGGCTTGTATCTTCTCTTTTGTTATATATGTATATCGCTTACTGCGGTATTTCTGAACTAGATATCTGTCCAGACAAAAATATTTATCTATATATTTGTGACAAGTTTATTAAAGAAATGAAATTCATGTCTCTAAATACAAATTTTTTTTATTAACCCTTTAAAAACCCAAAGTTTTCACACTAATCCTTTATTGTTAGATACCCAGATGTCTACAAAAATGGGTTGCAGATTTCAGTTTAGCAGTCCAAAATAAACCTAATTATCCAATTGAAAAATCAAAAAAAAAAATTAGTGTCGCACAGTGTATTCTCTAAATTTTATATATATGGTTTGAAAATTAAGAGAAATCAACTATAGTAGGCTGAGATTCATTAAGTGAACATTTTTTTAAATAATACTTGCGAATTAAGTTTAAATGATTGGCACTGAATCCTACACATAGAGTCCTAGATGTTTGCTTATAACATCCAGAAGAACCCATTAGTAATATATTCACAACAAAAATGATCTTATTTTCTACTTTGAGTGGGGGGATGATCTTTAATTTGTTAATAAGAACATACCCGAACTCAGGAAATATAAACAATACTTTCTACATAAGAAATATTTGTTGTGATTTTTATTAAAATTATTTATAAATAATGGTTTTTGAAGCTTGTTCGGATTTTAACAAAAAACTGTGTTCTATTATTTTACACGAATATTTTTCTTGCCATTTCAATAAGTTAAATAAAGCATACAATTCCTCAATTTTAATAGGTCACTTGTATGACCACATGTGGATTTTGCAAAAACGTAACCCGCATATTGATTAACGTATCAGTTTCCTGGCAACAACCTATCAATCAATTTTTCATTTTCTTGTTATTGGAAAAGCGAAGTGTGAATTTTAACACTTCATCCGTTTTGATTCTAGTATCAGTTCTTTTCTTTATAAAAATTATTTCAATATAAACAATAAATAAATTCTATACAAAAATGTCAAATGTACTTACATTAAGACTGAAAAGTTTTCGGAAATTCTCATTTAAAATTCGCGCGCTGTATATTTTCCGATATTTTAAGTTTATGTAGTTTGGCAGCACTGTCCTTAATTACTATGCCAAAAATGAGCGCGATCTGTCAGACAGTTCGTTTACGGCAGCTGTTGAAACCAGTTCACCTCAGTAGGGCGTTGCGAAAAAAACAATGGAAAAAAATATTGAACAAAGAGTTTGCATCAAATTTTGTGTTTCGAACGAAATTTCGTGTGCAGAATCGTTGCGAATGCTACAAAAGGCTTATGGGGAATCAGTTTTATCGAAAACTCAAGTTTATGAGTGGTACAAAGCCTTCCAGGACGGTCGTACGACCGTCGAAGACATTTCGCAACGCACTACTGAGGTGAACTGGTTTCAACAGCTGCCGTAAACGAACTGTCTGACAGATCGAGCTCATTTTTGGCATAGTAATTAAGGACAGTGCTGCCAAACTACATAAACTTAAAATATCGAAAAATATACAGCGCGCGAATTTTAAATGAGAATTTCCGAAAACTTTTCAGTCTTAATGTAAACAATTCTTAGCTGTCGATAAAGAACAGGAATTATTGCAAAGCTTTGTTGGAGTGCAGGTCGATGAAGAGCCACCATATGAAGATGAAAAGCGCAGTAAGCGAAGAACTTCATCGCCTTTTAAGCTTAAAACACGCGATGGCCGTGGATTAATGGGTAAAACGGCTGCAAAGCAAGGTGATGGTGGAGAGTTAGAAAAGAGTAATGTGACACGTGGAAATCGCATAGAAGCAGAACTTCGTGCAATGCGAAAGCATATGGATGATCAATTACTGAAGAAGAAAAAACCGAAAGAAAATTTTATCGACTTCTACACGGATAAGGATCGAGCAGCTGCTGTTAGTGCTGGTGCTTTCGATATAAAACAAAGTTTACAAATTAAACAAAAACAGGATCGTAATGAGGCAATGATTATACCTGATGAAGCAGATATAAATTCTATAATCGCACTAGGTTTAAAAGAAATAAAAAATGCTAATCCTGAAAATGCTATACATTTTTTCACAAAGGTTAGAGTTGCAGAAAGGACCACAATTCCTTTAAATACACTAATTTATTCTTAATCAAGCAAAAATAATACCTATTTGTGTTAGAACACTTTTCTAATAGTAATTTTCTGTTCTTTTAATTTCAGGCACTGGAACTCAATAACACTGACATGAATGCACTTATCTCACGTAGCAAATGTTATTTATTATTGGGTGAAGCCTCTAAAGCACTGTGTGATGCCGAAACTGCACTAACTGAAGAGAAAAACAATATACGTGCAATATACCAAAAGGCTGAGGCTCTTTATTATCTTGGACAATTCGAACAGAGTTTAATGTTTTTTCATCGCGGTTTACGTGCACGACCAGAATTGGATACATTTCGTTTAGGAGTACAAAAAACTCAAGAAGCAATAGAAAATACTATTGGAAGTGTTGACCGTGGTGCTAGTGTTAAACCATTGCCAAAGGTGAAGCTAAAAAAGTCGGGTGACAATACACCAAAATCCTCACAGCTAAACAGTTGTCGACCAACACGACCTAAACCAACAAAAGCTGAACTAGAACGAAGAAATGCTAGAAAGCTATTAGGTGAGCTATGCATTGATAAAGAATATTTGGAAAATCTACTGAAACATCCAGATCTAGTGCGTGCCGATACTAACACTGAAAATATATCAGCCTATGCTAAAGAAGCAGTGGAGTTTCTTAATAAACGTCAAGAGTTTTGGCGTCAACAACGACCGTGCACTGCATTACAAAACCGCAAGAATTTTCCTTTAGATACCTTGCCCAAAGGTTTCTAATAATATGCAATGTTTGTTTTTTAATTTTAAGAAAAAATTATAATAGTTTTAAATTGTTTCAATTTTAAAGAAAACAGATTTATTCGCTTGTTGATAGAGTGGTATTAGTGTTTAGTAATTTATGTATCTAAAAATAAAATTTGTAATTTTGAAATAGATTTCATCGTGTTTTTTAATTCAGAGTACTTGCAGGTGATTTAGAATAATTAGAAACAATTTAGCAGATCCAGTTCCTAATTCTTTAGCAGTCCAGTTCCTTATTCTTAGTTAACTTTAAAATTAATTTTAATGTTAACTTACAAATAAATAAATAAATATCTTATTCTGTGCTCTGCTAGCTTGAATCACAAAATCACACTTAATAAAAACTTTCCCTTTTAAGCATTTCTTCTTATCATTTTATGGGCTCTTATCGAACAGTAAAACCTTAATGACATTAAATTTAAAGCATACTATGTAAAATATATATAATGCAATTTTATTAATTTTATACATATTTTATACAATATAACGTTTATATATGATTTAGTAATAATACATTTATTATCTTGTATTTTTTAATAACTTGTTAAATCGCTTCCAAAAGCAATGTAGTACATAATAACAATAATATATGCATGTCTGCATTTTAGTGTGTATTTTTCATTACATATTTATTTGATTACTAATTTTATTTGTTCATTTTATACTTAGGTAGAGAGCCTTTAGTTGTTTTAAATATTTTAATTTTAAATATTTGACTAGCACTTTAAAATTGTTCATCCTTCATAAAAGATATATATAACTTTTAATACTTTTTGAATGTTTTGAGTTTTGTGACTTTAAATAATTAATAATTATTCTATTTTAGAACCTAATAATAATATATGAATATATATAAATACTTGAGGCACGATTTCGTTATTCTGAACATACCTATTTGAGAACGGATTTTTGTAATAGCACTTATTATGAATAGAATTGTATACAACGATATATGTTAATATAGTTCATTTTTTAGAGTATCAGGATGCATAGTTGGAATTGTTTTTTAAAGAACCACCAAAAACAAGTAGATACAACTTCTGTAGCGTCTACTTGTTGTTTTGATAACCCATAGAAACCTATACGCCAGATAAAATCGAAAGGAATTACAAAAACACTTACTATACCCTGATGAAAATTTTGAAAAAGTTTATTATTAATTATTGACCAAATAGCCCGTAAAATAAAAAATTAGTATTAAAAATTGCATATAAAAATTTGCAAGTTTTTTGTAAATCTAACGTGTGTAAAAATTTAACAATTTTAAACCAAGATAACTCAAAAAATAATCTATATCTATATATATTGCAAAAGAATGAGCTGCCTCTACTAAAATCCATAGTCAAATTAACGTCATGCCAAATCGAAGTCATGCCAAATATATAAATTTCATTATTATTTGATTTTAGTTATTAATTAAGTTATTTTGGGAAGTCCACATATAGAGAAATAAAATTTTTAAAACATATTAATTAACTGTTTAAAGAATTACTTGTTTTCTATGGACAATATTATAAATTCACTTCAAGTATGACTTTACTGAGCAGTAGTTGTATTCAATTTTCTACTAGAGTGTTTATCAGTAACTAATAGATTTCTAAAATATACTAATTTCATGTAAATATTCTTTTTAATATAAAATAATTATTTTCAATTAAATTATTTAAAATATTTTCACACTTCAGAAAGGTAGAAATTCTTACTTAATTATGTTAAATGTATTGCTTCTAAAAACAGCTGCTACATATAATTTTATAGTTAAGTTTTTGTTATGATATTTGTTAATAAATGCTAAGCGCATTATATATATATTATTTCAAATAAATATATAACTATATATATCACTTATATGATATAATAAATTCATTTAAAATTTTGTTGCATTTTTGCATACATTCACAATAAAAAATAACCAATTTTTTACCC